TTTTGTAAAAAAATGCACCGTCACCTCCCCGAAAAAGTCAAAATGCGTTTCAGGTGAAAAACAACAAGTGAAAATAGAACGACGCGTCCCTCTTCCGGAATATCGCCGCACCCCTTCCCCGACAAGTGAAATAACACAACGGGCCCCGGAATTTCTGAAAATACACTTTGGTCTCCTTGTGTAAAAAAATGCACCGTCACCTCCCCGAAAAAGTCAAAATGCGATTCAGGTGAAAAACAATAAGTGAAAATACAACGACGCGTCCCTCTTCCGGAATATCGCCGCACCCCCCTCCCCGACAAGTGAAATTCCACAACGGGCCCCGGAAATTTTGAAAATACACTTTAGTCTCCTTTTGTCAAAAAATGCACCGAGGCCACTCCGAAAACAAAAGCGAAGCGAAAGAGTGGAAATACAGAATATTTATGCATTTATAGGTGAAAATACAATGTGTTTTCATGTCTCACAGAAAATATAACAATGACAACCCCAGTCACCAAGTGACAACAAATAAGAAACTGATATTGAGATAATATGAAATCCGTGCTAATTATTTATTAAACATAAAATTATTGTCATCGATGACGATATTTCTAGGTGCTGAAAAAAAATTATGTTTCTAAACTTTATTCATAAAATAGAAAAAAATTGTCATCGATGACGATATTTTTAGGTTGCATGAAAACATCAACTTATAACAACAACCTTGTCATCGATGACGTTTTTCTCACTTCTTGTAAAATTGTTCGGTAAACAAATGAATACCTTGAATAAACGCCATAAATAATTATGTCAACAATATTACAGTTTCCGATGTCAACAACATTACAGTCTGTTAAAGTTTTCAACGCAACGCTGATTAGGACTAGTCCAGTTTCAGATTAGAAAGTCGCCTGGAAGAATCTTTAAGATATAATCTTGCAAGACTCCTTTAAGCTACTATTTTGCCTATTGTTAATTAAGCCGCACGTCGCAATGAAACGTCTGCGCAATTAGCTGATACTAATAAGCTAGCGAAATAGTATCCATTTGCGCCGCGGTTTGTTCCGTGCTTATTATAAAGACCTACACGGGTTGATAACGTGCACGCTGCGTAATTAGAGACTTGTTCTAAAGTCTTTAACGCAAAGCTGATTATTATGACCGGTCCAGAATCTGTGCAGTTTTAAAAGTCACTAAGATTCTTATGGATCCGATCTTGTAAGACTTCTTAAAGAAGCGCTATTTTGTCTAATTTGCCGCACGCAATAAAAAGTCTGCGCAACTAGCTGATACTTATAATGAGCTAGGGAATCACTATACGATTGCGCCGCGGGTTGTTGCGAGTTTATCGTAAGACATTGACGGTTAAATAATTAGAACGCTGCGTAACTAGAGACTTTAACTGCCGAAATCTGTGACGTGAAAGTGACTCACCGAGAAAAGAAACGTCCTTGGTCGGTCACGGACAGTTCCGTTATCTGTTAAAGAACTGCGGAAAGTCCATCAACGATGATGGAAAGAGCCGTCATCGATGACGAAGCGGCGTAAAAGACTTAAATTAACTTGGTAAGACAATTTAAGTTACTAAAAAGTCTGTCATCGATGACGATGTTATGACGACTTTCTGTCATCGATGACAGAAAGCTGGACTATTGATAATTTTACCGTCTTAAATACTCAATAGTCCAGCTTTCTGTCATCGATGACAGAAAGTCGTCATAATATCGTCATCGATGACAGAAATTCTAGTTACTTAAATTGTTTTACCAAGTTAATATAAGACTTTTGCGCTGCTTCGTCATCGATGACGGATCTTTCCATCATCGTTGATGGACTTTCCGCAGTTCTTTCAATGAAAGATAACGGAACTGTCCGTGACCGATCATGGACGTTTTTTTTCACGGTGAGTCACATTCACGTCACAGATTTCGGCAGTTAAAGTCTCTAATTGCGCAACGTCTTTGAAGTTAATACTAAACCGTTAAGGTCTTTAGAATAAGCACGCAACAAACCTCAGCGGCGCAGTCCGATACTATTTCGGTAGTCATTAATATCAGCTATTTGCGCAGACGTTTCAATGCTTGCGGCATGCAAGAAACAACAGGCAAAATAGCGCTTCGTAAAGGAGTCTTGCAAGATTAGATCTTAATGAGGCTTCTTCGAGGTGACTTTTTTAATCCTGAACTGGACTGGTCCTTATTGCCACCTTCCAGCCTAGCAGCTTTTGTTTTCTATCATTATTTCTATAATTTCTTAGTATAAGCGTTTAGCTCGCATTGACGCTGCCACCTTCTAGCCAAGCAGGTTCTGCTTTCTATTATTAATTTATATTACAAACTTAACACATACTTTAAATAGTTTAACCTTTACACAAGGCTGGATTTGTAATTTCATTTTTTCTTTATTTCACTTTATATTATTTCATGGCAGTCGCAATAATTATTTGTGGTGTTTATTCGCGGTATTTATTTGTTTACAGAACTATTTTACAAAAAGTAAGAAAAACGTCACCGATGACAAGCTTGTTGTTATAAGTTGATGTTTTCATGCATCCTAAAAATATCGTCATCGATGACAAAATTTTCTACTTTATAAATAAAATATATAACAACAATTTTTTTCAGCACCTAGAAATACCGTCATCGATGACAATAATTATATGTTTCAAAAATAATTAGCACGGACTTCTTATTATCTCAATATCAGTTTCTTATTAGCTGTGAATGGTGACAAGGGTTGTCATTGTTATATTTTCTGTGAGACATACTTATTCTGGAAAAAGGAAACTTCCTTTTTATTTTCACTTGGTATTTTTCACCTGATTTGCATTTTGACTTTTTCGGGGAGGTGTCGGTGCATTTTTTCACAAAAGGAGACTAAAGTGTATTTTCAAAAATTTCGGGGCCCGTTGTGTAATTTCACTTGGCGGGGAGGGGGGTGCGGTGATATTCCGAAACGAAGGACGCGTCCTTGTTTTCACTTGTTGTTTTTCACCTGATTTGCATTTTGACTTTTTCGGGGAGGTGTCGGTGCATTTTTTCACAAAAGGAGACCAAAGTGTATTTTCAGTATTTCCGGGGCCCGTTGTGTAATTTCACTTGTCGGGGAGGGGGGTGCGGTGATATTCCGGACGAAGGACGCGTCCTTGTATTTTCACTTGTTGTTTTTCACCTGATTTGCATTTTGACTTTATCGGGGAGGTGTCGGTGCATGTTTCCACAAAAGGAGACCAAAGTGTATTTTCAGTATTTCCGGGGCCCGTTGTGTAATTTCACTTGTCGGGGAGGGGAGTGCGGTGATATTCCGAAAGAAGGACGCGTCCTTCTTTTTTTCACTTGTTGTTTTTTTACCTGATTTGCATTTTGACTTTTTCGGGGAGGTGTCGGTGCAAGTTTTCACCAAAGGAGACCAAAGTGTATTTTCAGTATTTCCGGGGCACGTTGTGTTATTTCACTTGTCGGGGAGGGGGGTGCGGTGATATTCCAGAAGAGGGACGCGTCCTTGTATTTTCACTTGAAAATACTTCGAGGACCGTTTTGTATTTTCACTTGGTGAATTACCCATTAACCCATTAACCCATTCACCCATTCACCCTTTATATGCGCAACGATTTACGTTTCTTAATTTGTGTTTTGTGCATGGTGACATATATACAGGGTTATGAGTTCTTCCGAAGGGGATGCGGATTCGGAAGGGCATTCATTTGCCCGGAAGCTTTGTGATAATGACTTTTACAGGGTTCCAGTCCTTGCAGATATGTATTCGAAGGAAACATGCGGTGCATATGGTCTGGGATGGTGGAGCATGAGCATCATCCCAAAAGCTTACAAGTACCCACTCCTCAAGACTCCAAGGCCCAATGACAGTCTTGTCGGCGAGTCGATGCTTGTGATTCATGGCATGATGACGATGGCAGAGGACGATGGTTACGAACCGTTTGCACTCGTGGTCGCTGATAAACAGGCTCTGGGATGCTGTCCGTTCGTGGACTTCGCTCAAACTCTGGCAAAGAGGAACGTAGAGCCCCTGAAAGGGAAAAATGGGAAAATTGGTCAGTATTTTCTCTCATTCTTCCCTTCGTTTTCCTTCTCCTTCTAATTCAGGCCTTATTTGTCTTCTGCTTATCTTTTCTAATTCAGCCTTTCGAATTCATTCACTCTTTTCAGTACCTAATCACCTCTTTGCGGGAGTCATCATCGACAAAGTATTGTCATTTGGTCACCCTGAAATCCCTGAACCTGACGCTGGCACCGATATGACCGATGTTGAACGATGGTTCAAGACATATATCGATATCGCCGAGGACAAGGACAGAGCAGAGCATCCTCGCTTCTTAGGCATTATGCTCGCAATGGATAAATTCATTTGCCCTGGCGCGCAACCCATAAGTAAGAGACCCAGCGGTACAGTGCCCAAAATGTACACTGCTGCCTCTGACTGCTTTTCTTTATCGCCTTTCATCACGAACCGGCAATTCCGCCGTGAAGATATCTTCAGAGCTATCGATGCAAAGTACATGCTTATCACGCAAGACAACGAGCGACTCGACCATCTTCAGAAGAATATTGGTGAAGCAGAATACTTGAAATTAGAATATTTCCCAAAGATGCTCAAGTACTTCACTGAACTTGTGGATACATTGCATGCTATTCACACCGAGCAGTACGAGGATTATTCTCGACTCCACTCAAGGGTGGGGGGGATAATTAACATCAAATATGGCGCAATAGTGTAGTGGTAACATACTCGTCATGAATTCGAGAGACTAGGGTTCGATTCCCGTTGCGCCTTTTCCCAAAAAAAATAATTAAAAACCCAATGGGTGAGAATGAAAAATTCTTGTTAAAAACTTTGAGTTGCGGCAGTCACTGGGACGTGTTTCGTACGATAGCCCTCGACGTCGACTACAGATCCAGCGGGCTCGAAAGAGGTACCGGATCGTCTATAATTAAATTTATAGATCGCTTGTAAAAATAATGTATATAAATGGGGTGGGGGGGATAATTAACATCAAATATGGCGCAATAGTGTAGTGGTAACATACTCGTCATGAATTCGAGAGACTAGCAAGGGTTCGATTCCCGTTGCGCCTTTTCCCAAAAAAATAATTAAAAACCCAATGGGTGAGAATGAAATATTCTTGTTAAAAACACCGCCAAAAACAATAATCTCCAGATCGTTGAACCGACTTTGCACATCTCGACATGGGCCGCGTTTGTCTCCCAGGTAATAGTTTCTAAATTCATCCCTTCTGTCAATTTTATGTTATTTTAATGTTTATCGCGTTCCGCTGCTTCTCACCTATCCGTTTGATCGCAACAGTATCTTCCAGATCTTGCGAGTATTCGCAAAGCCGAAGATGATCTTCTGGCGGAGAGCGTTCCAGAGAAAGTATCTGAGTCCGTCGAAAACTTGCAAAAAGCGGCGGAGAAGGCCCCAGTGCAAGACGAGCCCGTCCGTCCTCGACCTGAAGGACAAGAGATTGCTTTGATGCAGAAAGGTGTCGTCGTCATTGACACCACACCGATTTTCCACAAACGAGGATATGCCTACATTTTGGACAGCGCCCCGACGTGGACAGCTCCAGACGGCAGCGTCCATAATGACGACGCGACGATGGCCCTCATCCGTTTTGCAAATAAGGAAGCTGGAAAGCCCGACGAAAACGTGAGATCGAAACACTACCTTTGGATCATAGGTAAATCTCCCTCTCTCTATCTTAGATAAAATGTTATATCTTCAAATACTGAGAATTAATTTGCTTTTGTGTTGGCAGGGGGTGTCGGCAGTGCGGACCTTCTTCCTCAATCTTTGGCTAAGGTGCCAACGCAACCAGTTGCCAACTCGGCACTCGAAAGCGATGCCGGTGAGCCGATATAAAACATCTCTCGCTCTCTATCTCCCTTTCTCCTTCGCTCTCCGTCTTAGGTCACAAAAATGATATATGTATTCAAATACTGAGAATTGATTTGCTTTTGTGTTGTGAGAAGATTCCGATGGTAGCAAGCGTGCATCTCCTGAAGCTGAGTGTCCATCTCCAACGCAACAAGATGCCAACCCTGCAAGCGATGCCGGTGAGCCGATATAAAACATCTCTCGCTCTCTATCTCCCTTTATCCTTCGCTCTCCGTCTTAGGTCACAAAAATGATATATATATTCAAATACTGATGGCTACTGCCCCGTGGTTCGGTACTATCACAAGTACCAAGCCTTATGCTTAATTATGGGCACTAGAGGGGGTGTATGTGTCCCATGAAGGTTTCGAAAAATCATTTAGGACCCTTTTGATTTATTGTTGTTGCTGAAATTTACTCCCATCGACATTAGGTATGTGTATGCGCGGCATGCTTTCGGGGGGTGAAAGACCATAAAATTAATTAAAAGTTTGGGTACTATTACAAGTACCCGCATGTTTCGCCGCATAACTCCCGCTACACGCTCCGGATGAAGATTCGGAGACCTATGTTGACAAGTTCGCGAGTTGCCCGATCTGCAGTGTCTCGTCAGATTTTCCATCCGGCCTCATCTTGATGCCAAAATTTACGGTTGAAGTCGCGGGGGTATAGAAAATCTGGGTATTTACAAAACTAAGCGAAAATTGAAGGCCAAAATTTTGCTACCCAACGGCATTCGACGCCCTCGTGCGCCCAATATACGTGTGTTATAGACCAATGGCGCATAAGGCAACTCAGTTTGGGTGCCTGGGACGAAAATATATGAAGGGTAGCATCTCCATATCAAAGGAGGGCATCGAAAAAAAATCCGGCGTTTCGGTACTTGAGATAGTACCGAAACGCGTTTCGGTACTATCTCAAGTACCACGGGGCAGTATCCACTGAGAATTGATTTGCTTTTGTGTTGTGAGAAGGTTCCGATGGTAGCAAGCGTGCATCTCCTGAAGCTGAGCGCCCATCTCCAACGCAACAAGATACCAACCCTGCAAGCGATGCCGGTGAGCCGATATAAAACATCTCTCGCTCTCTATCTCCCTTTCTCCTTCGCTCTCCGTCTTAGGTCACAAAAATGATATATGTATTCAAATACTGAGAATTGATTTGCTTTTGTGTTGTGAGAAGATTCCGATGGTGGCAAGCGTGCATCTCCTGAAGCTGAGGTCTGTGGAGACGAAGCTGAGGTGCAAACGCAACCTCCAGTTCCAGGTGGACACGATACGGGTCGTAAACAACCATTTCCCAAAACGGCTCCACCTCCTTCACTTCTAACTTCACCTCTAACTTCAGCTGCTTCACCTGCTCAAGGCACTCGTGCAACTACTCGAAGACTCTCTGCAGCAAGCCCTGCTGCAGGGCCATCGGCGGCAAGCCCTGCTGCAGGGCCATCGGCGGCAAGCCCTGCTGCAGGGCCATCAGCGGCAAGCCCTGCTCTAGGGCCATCAGGGGCAAACCCTGCTCCAGGGCCATCAGGGGCAAGCCGTCTCCCATCAGCGGGTCCTGTATCTCCTGCAGCTGGAACTCCGCAGCGGCCAATTACTGCATTCATCATGGAGCAGGATGTTGAGGCGATTGTGTCCCCTTCAAAGACTCCGAAGACCGCCGAAGAAACCGAGGCAGAGGAGCAAAAAAAACAGGCTGCCATTCGCAAGTATGCATCTTCCCTCCTGAGATTTACTTATACGACCATTGCTTTTTTTGATGGTGTATGTGCATTACTAAAACCAAGTATACGTTGCTTCTGTGGGCCATCAGGAAAATCGATGACATGCATAAGTTGGTCGACAATAATAATCCATGTGCGACATCGTGGAGAATCCCCATCCGGTACATCGATGATGCAGAATGAGCGTATCGCCCTCGACCACTGGACGAAGATCACGCCCAGGCTATTGCCGAAATGATGTACTGGAACCCACACACCGGTTCGGGATCTCCAGCCCTGATTTCCGTCATAGAGAATCAAGACGATCCAACAAGCACCAACCCAGAGGCATTCGTTTGGGCGGCCATCGGGAAAGGCAGATACAGGTAAGACCTATTGCCTTGATGGATGCATGCATATGTGTTCCAACTTACACTTTCTTTGTTATTCTACAGATTCACCTGCTTTGGACATCAGCATTTGCTGGAGGCAAAGCGTCGCTGCGTCAAGGCGGATGAAGCAAAGCACGCAAACCATGAAAATCGAACGGAAGCGTTTCAGTTCATCGAATGCCGTCTCTTCAAGAACTTGAGCGCCATCGAAATGAATCAGGTGTGTCTCACTCATGCCAGTTTTCTCAGGTGCTTCTCAGGGCTTACATACTCAAGTGTTTATTTAGGGAGGTTTACGGTCGGCCAGCTTCTCAGCTATAGTCATGATCCGTGCAATTCGTTTGCGCACGCAGCTTGGGAATGAGCAGAACAACATTGACGCCTACATGAAGCACCGCAACATCACGGAGATCATTCTTGGCATGCGAAGGCACGTGGAGAAACTGATGGCTGACCCCAGCGAGAGAGACGTTACAATGAAGAGGTTTGAGAACGTGATTTTCCGTCGGGTGCCGCAGAAGCAGAACTTGAATCCCGAATTCGAAGCGGCGCTGAAGACGCAGGTGTTCAATCACCAGAAGCTGAATGCAGACAAGAAGAACGCGCATTGGGCTGCTTGGGCTATCTCGGTGCAATCGCAAAAGTTGTTCAAACAACTTCAGAGAGGTGCTGCCATTTTTTGTGAATTCCGTCCCGACATTATTCTTATTTGCTCTTAGGTGTTTTTGCAGTAGCTAACTGACGATTTGGTATTTCATGTTTTCGCTTTCAGTGACGAAGGCCCACAATGAAGGGGCGCTAGAGGGCGGTGACCCGGACGATGAAGACGCCACGGAGACGACCTTGGCCACGGTTGGGTCATCTCGCAATAAGCCCAAACGTAAACGTTCAAGCGGTATGTCGACCGGCACAACTGTCGACCAAGCAGCCTAAATGGGACCCCACACCCGGAAAGCCGATCGTCTACCATGATCTGCCGAAGGGGTTCTATGATACCTGCCCCCCCTTGACCGAAGGGCACTTACGTGAGATCACTGACCTCGTCGACGAAGCCGTCATCGAACGGAAGTACACGGTCAAAGATATGATCAACCGTATCGCCGAGATCAAGACTCTCAAGAATGTTCGAGAGAACCTAATGCTGCTTGCCTCAGAGGCTCATAAACGATTCAACATAACAACCTCCTTGGAATCGACACCGGCCTACCGGCAACTGAGCTTTCTCAAGAAAACCCGGCATTCTATGCAGCTCTTTCTGCAAACACAACCGGGAGGGTTCGAAAACGACATATACGACATAGATGCACCCTGCTTCATTCCTTACCTAGATGAAGATGGGTATCCCATACCTAAGATAAGGAAACCAGTGGATGCTGTCGTGGATCCCGGTGCTCCCGAGTCGAAGTTCTGGGATCGTAAGATGACCTACGGTGAGCTGGATGTAGAAATCATTACGCTGCAAAAGAAGCTTGACAGCTTTACGTTTCCCAACCCAGAACAAGACTGGAAGAAGTTTTGCAACTATTTCCCAGGGGCTGAGAGAAATACGTACATTACTGAAGGTAATTTACCTAAGTTGCGCCCTCTGGTCGTCCTTCACGATATCTGATTTTTTCCATATCGGCTTGCGCGTTCAATTAACAACGGGGTTTGTTTACAACTGTACCAGGCGGGAGTGGTGCCCCTGAAGGTCTCCTGCAAGAACGAGCAGGAGAACCGGAAATTTCAATTTGAACAACGGCCTGCAAAAGAAAAACAGCGGCATGAGGAGAAGATAGAGAAACTGATCAAAAACATTCCGAAGGATATAAAGTTCTACTGAAATAATATCGAGAGCAGGATGTTGCTGAAAATCGGGTCGACGACAGCATCGACTGCGGAAAACCTCCTAAAGGATCTTCCAGGTGCGTATCTCGGTTTCATATTCCATTTGTGCACCGTAGCTATGTAATTACTAATCGTTTACATTGCACACAGGTGTGAGTTATCGAATATTGTCAAACGTTCCTGAGGGCCAGCAAGTCGACGATGCTGACTACTTCTACACTCACAAGATTCCGCAAGTGGTTTTCAAGAAGGACTTTCTGCTGGAGCCCGCATCAC